GATGGCGCTTTGATGAACTGCAGAGAAGGACAGGTCCTGGTTGATAGTTGTGCAAATGGCCACTGCGAACAGAGTGCCACATTGTTCTGTATGAACCTTCTGTTGTGCGGTTACGATAGGTCCTGGAGTGGTTTAGAGGGGATGTGGGAGGACGATGGTACGCCAAAAGCAGAGAAAACGACAAAAAAAGTCAAGCTAGAATCTCATGCTAATTTCACGAACGGGCAGCGGCTAAGAAGGCGGACGTATGAACGAGTTCACCGCAACGCGTTTGGTGGCACATGCCAATCCATGCTCCAGTCGAGTTGCTCCAGTTGTGCCGCTGCTGGCAACGCAGCTCGTCCAAATCACCAACTAAACTAGTGGGCGGATCGCTTTTGGGGCGGGCGCTTTCGAAGTCCTGCTCAGCAACCAGCGCACCTTTCGTCGTGAAAGCGCTACACCTCGCTTCCTTGGCAGCCAAGTAACTGCTTCGTGTGGTGCATATGCTTCCCGATGCGCTCCCTCTCAATCGTGACCGCTTCCTCTATAAAAACAAGTAAACAACCAACGACTGATGCCAACTGGTTCTTGAATATTTTACCGGGATTTCTATGCAAATCCTGGAACCCTGGGCCATCGGAGCAGGTTCAACTGTCCGTTCACACTTTCGAACGAGGAGGTTGCATTTCAGTGTTGAACAAGGTTAACCACCTCTCGCAAAAATGCGGAAGGGTTGTCCATCTCAAAAGACAGTCGTATTTGACGGGTTTTGCGAAGAGTTAGGCGAAAGTTTCATGAAGGTAGGGTCAAAATAGACAAAATCTGTGGATTTGCCGCTCTATGGTACCAATTTACTTCCCCCTCTCCCGCTCAATTGTTTTGTAGAGAGAAGGGCGGAGTTGGGTACTAGGTTTAGTTCAGAATCAAATGGTAGAAACAGCCGCGATGGTGAGGGTGGTGATTGGGGTAGAGAGGAGCGGTGTCGTATTGAGGGGTCTTCTCAGGCTGATTACAGGGAGGGGGCAATATTTTCGGAAAAAGGCGAACGCAGCGGTTGACCCTGCATCGGAAAGGACGACTCAGCCGAAACGTTAGCACTCTTATGAATGTTCTACATAGCACTCTTAAGGGCAAGATTCAGGATTAAATTAAATTCCACTCAAATGTGAAAGTAGGGTAGGAGGTGGACCGCCAGTGAGAAAAGGAAAAAAATCGTGAAATACACAGGAAATACGAGCCTTTTGCTCTACGCTGCGGAGAAGTTCAAAAGGCCGGCAGGGAGATGAGAGATAATGTGAGCGCGGAGAGCGGTAGAGAAGTACGAGTAGAGAGAGCATAGCAGATCAATTAGCGACGCAGACAAGATATCGAGCGGTGGGCGGAGCGTGTCGCAACAGGTGGAGCGTGTCAAAGTTCTTAGCGCCTAGCGTCTAAGTAACGCTTTTCGAAGTAGGGAAGTGACGCGACCTCTGCACTTGCGTACCTAGCGCTTCTAGCCACCGTAAAGGCTCATTAAGTGGGTCTGAGCCCGAACTTTGCCTTTAAGTGGTTCAGACAGCCGACGCAATTGAAACAAACAAATGGTTAAGGCGAATAAATAAACAAACGTTTGGTAAGACAAGCATTCTTGTTCAATATTCGATTACCAGTAGGAGGTAAGGTAGAAGCTTCAAAGCAGTACTGCAATGTTTGGGATAGTCAGATCGAATAGCCCTTCATTCTACGAAGCTCACGCGAAGGGATAATTGAAGCTAGAGGGTTTGAGCATTGAAAAAGACTGAACATGATCGTCTGAATGACGAAGGCTATTCGTCGTCAGACGCATTACGCCCAGCTGGATTTCCTTTCAAATGTTAATAGACAATTGAAAAAGAGACAATCTAAGCTTATTATTTTTGTCTGAAATATCAACGATTTTTTACGCATTCACTCTGTAATACCTCAATGGGGACCTAATTGCAACAAAAAAGTATGTCTGCCGGTCACTGAACGCTGTTAATGTTATGAATATCTTGCTTTCAGAAAAAAAACATAATAAATTAAATTAAACTATAATAAATTTAGACATGATTTTTTGTTGATTGTTGTTTTAGCAAATGTTTTCTAAACATCGAACATTCGAACATAATTTTCCTATTCAATTTTCTAAAAATTTTCTATATTGGTCACTAGAAGAAGGTAAGAAATGGCCCACAACACCAGCTCGCCAAGAATGGCCCTGGCAAGCAACACGTCAGCGGGGGCGAGGCAGAGAAGGCAAAACACACTCACTGTGGTAGTAAGGAGGTCTGAAAGTGTCCTCAGCGACACCCCATCTTGGAGGGAAAATCACGAAATCGGCGATAGCAGTGCCGGGCTTTGTTGATGGTGCTGTGAGCACCGTGAAAATCGACGGATCCTGCAATAGTTTGTTTGTTTTGGCGGAATACTCACTATTTAAAAATCTTGACCATAAAATATGCACAATGTTCTCAGAAGGATTTCTCGCATTTTGTAAGAGCGGGTGGACAGAACGCAGGGATATTTTTTCTTTCTGAACCATTTGAAGAACTCTAAAAAATAAGTGAAAAAATGGTCAACGTCTACTCTCCTTTCTGATCAACGGTTACGGCGCAAAATTTTGCATTTTTAGCCTCTATTTTTTTCGTGGTTCCAATATGGAATAGTTTTTTTTAGAACAAAACCTCTTATTCTATCTTACCACAGTCTATGAATGCCGCAAATTATTTGCTTCTTGTAAAAACTCGCCAATTTCTCACTGAACTTTCCGCTCCCTTTCGGCATCGGAGTGGTTTTCGGGAATGATGAAGCTCATTTCTGCGTTCCATGCACGTACTTACAAAATGCGAAAAACTGCATCGAAGAAGCTCTTCAGCCGTGAGTGTCCCCTCCCCCCCCTCGCCGGTGAGGCAACTCTTTAGCCGCCTGTCGAACTTCGTTTCTCTCTAGCCAACCTGGCTATCGCGGTCATTTAGCAACACACCTGGCATCCAGTACATCAAAAACACGTACAATATCATTTTGCCACTGAGTCTGGAATAAGGACAGGGAAAAACACGGGTATAAATAGCTACCGATCCTAGAGACACATTAAAAGCACAACCCAAGCATAAATCACGTGAACGGTTTCCCTGAAGGACTGTAGGATAAAAGGACACAATCACAGTTGTGGCATTTCCCGTGCAAGGAAATCACCCGACAAAGCGCTAGGGCCTTGCAAAGTGAAGCTGCAGCAGCTGCAATTTTTTCTTTTATGAGGCCGTTGTCTGGCGCCCTCTCATCTGTTGTGCTCTCTCGCCTCATCCCACAATCTCGTCTCAGCGCTTAGGCCGATGTCAGACTTTGCGAATCGCGCGATTCGCTAGCGTCTGCGGTCGCGTCGCGGCCAGTGAATCACTCAATTGGCTGGTACCGCAACGCGACCGCGGACGCTAGCGAATCGCGCGAATCGCTAGTAGCGAATCGCGCGATTCGCAAAGTCTGACATCGGCCTAGTTCCTCTAGTTGCATATTGCAGGCAGCTAATGTAAAACAGGCGACTATCGCCTTACCTAAAGCGTTTTCTGCTTTTCCTTTTCCTCTTTTGTTGCCGGCCCATTTCGCAACATTCGCATTCGTGTGCAAACACTGTTTTGGCTTGGGGGCATGCCTTTAAGAAAATGATGGTGAACAGGTTAAAGAAAGTGGCCGAGTTGAGGCTGATTCAGAAGGCTTAAAAGTGAACTTGTCATGTTCACCAAAATTGTTTGCATTCGCCTTTAAAACGGAGCATTTCCTAATCTTCAAAAATAAACTACGACTAGAGCCGTGCGCCATAGCTGGAGGAAGAGAAGGAGAAACACCGGAAACAATTCAAACTCTTCACGCAGTGATCGAATGAGACGGTGTTGATGACGTTGAAATTTGCGTAAGTCATCCTTATAAGGAGCCTTAGTGCCATGGCCATGCCAACCAACGGTCAAATGGTGAATGCTGAAAATAAATTAAATAATATTACTTTATTAAATACTCTTCAATCTTATTTTATTCTCACAGGTCATCTGCAGCCGAACTTATCTAACTTAGGGTTCTCGATTACATCAGCGCTTTTGCTGGCACACATAGAATAAATATAATAAATAGAGTAGTAAATTAACTTAATAGGTTAAATAATATGAACAAACAAATAATTTATAATTTAATTAATGGCTTTCGTGAACGCACATGTTAGTCCAGTTCCTACTATTAGTTGCATGCTACGCACCAGACCCTCCGAGAAAAGTTCATAACCGCTTTCAAGAGAGCATTGCCAAACTAACCGACCTGTAAGCTTCACTTCTCGCACCGCAAAGCGTCAGTTATTTTTAGGCCCGAACAATATATAACCAATTGAACCATAATATACACACACCTGTTCTGCGACGAAGAACATTCCCTGGTACTTGTTGTAGATCTGGAATGGCATGTCAACATGTCTTCAAACCATGCCAAGGGCGTCTCGAAATCGCGCGCATTCGCCAAACCATTTGCTCCTCAAAAGCGTAACATTTACCTTGGAATTCTTGTTTGTTTCTTCTTGCCTAATGGATTATTTTTTTTTTTTATTATTTTTATTTTTTATTTTTTATTTTATTTTTTTTAATTTTATATTATTTTTTTTTTTTTTTTTATTTTTTTTTTTTTTTTTTTGATTTTTTTTTCTGGCCCGATTATTTTATATTTCTTATATATGTAATGTAGTTATTAGGATTTATATTTTTTATCTACACTTTTTTTTACCTTACTTGTTTATTCTTGCAACTATGTACTTCTGTCCCACTAAGCATATTGAATTCTGAGCAATACACATCGCTTTTGCATAGAACATAGAGGTGAGAGTGGTGATGGCGGGGTGAGGATAAAATGGTGACACCACAAAAAGTCGAGTTTGAGTGAAACCGTTCCCCAACAGCATAACTTGTAGGGTTTGCCCGGTGAAGCTCAGAACATACTTTGCGAATCAAGTGATTCGCTAGCGCCCGCAGTCGCGTAGCGGCACCGGCCAATAGAGCAATTCGGTGGCCGCGACGCGACAGCAAACGCTAGCGAATCGCTTGATTCCCAAAGTCTGACTGGCCTTAGGCGAGAAAAAGGGCAATGGGGCAAAGGAATTGTCCATAGGACAATAATCTGAAGTAAATAGGACAATATAATCTTGCGACACGTGTAGTGTATTTGTTTCCCTTTTGCAAAAGCTATGGTCAGGATAAGCACGTCAACACCAGCAAGGTGTTTGCCACGAAAAGGATAAAAAAATGCTTCGTTTTTTTCAAATAGTGAAGTTTGACACTAGGTAGATGTTGCAGAATTCCTGGCTCGAAGCCGCGAACGAGAAAAAGAGTAGAGAGCCAATGGCATAGTCATCGGGAAATGTTGAAGTTTTTCCAGGACAAATGGCCCAGATAAATGGTTGACTTGTTCCCAGATTTCTTTCCTGACTTGGACTTAGTTTCCTGCAACATTTCCTGAAAGCTAACGGAAGCCAAGCGTGTCTGGCAAAAAATTGGTGCAGTGAACTTTGGCCGTCCTCATGAATATTTCTCAACAGGAATCACCAACGTCAAAGGCGTGGGAATCGGCGAATTTTCATTGCTCGTACTTTGCTAATTGGGCACAACAGTGCCTGAGAAATTCTGAGCAATCAAGCAGGACATAGAAAACGTTAGAAAAATTATATGACGGAAACAAGCCTGTATCAATTATCAATATAACAAAAACGGGTGACGAAAAAAGCCCCACTTTCTCGCCTTCACCTTCGTTGGGCTCATAGTTTGAGTCTACGCGGTAAATCAATACAAAAAAATCACTTTATCACGAAAACGCCCACTGAAAATTCCCACCCCCCCTCCCCCAGTGAGGTCAGCCGACCATTTAATAAGTCAAGAGTTCATCAGAGTGAGAACGCCGACCTCGACATTAACAGATCTACGCAGCTTTTGTGTAAGCCGAGTAACCTTCCAACTAGTCCGGCTAAAATACACTGGAGTCATGTGCATGGCGCACATCATTACGTTTGACGAAGAACTTAACAAGGTTGATGCGCTACCTAATTTTTGGTGATTTTCAATAAGCTCTACATACCATGATAAATGAGGATAATAGAAGAAATGTGGGCTAAATGTGCGTCCTCACTCTCACCCCCTCCTCTCTCTCCCCTCCCGCTTCCACCACCAATCTATAAAATTCAGTGTTCGTTTGAAGTGATTGAACGTTCCCTTTCCAAAGCACCTGTTGAAATAATTGGACCGATTGTATTGGGTTGCTCGCAAGGTTTCCGCTTGAATGATTCATTTTTGAATTATTTAAATCTACGACCGCCTGACTGCTGGCACGGAGCCAGATGTTCACCTTCAAGGCGAAAATACCCCAACTCAATCCCGACCCGTGCCTCTGAAGAAACTCATTTGTGAAGAGAGCAGTGCACGATTGAAGCAACACACCTATTGGACCAAGGTCGGGCAATTGGAAGTGGGTGCCGTAGACTTCAAGCACATAGCCACGTGATGGTCCGTCAACAGCGACTGAGAAGCGGATACCTGAATATTTATGCATTAACACGTTGACGACATCGCGCGTTTTGGGTTTTTGCACCGCGTGGGACAAGGGCGCTTTTGCGAGCGCGGCCGTCACACCTCACACCCGTAAATTTCGAACGATAACTTGGGAAGCTTCAAAGGTACGAAACCATTTCAGCAATATTCAATGCGTAGAAAGTAATCGAAGATATAGTAGCGAAATTCCGATCAAAAAACGTGAAATGGTAAAGAAAATTGGAATTTAAGTCCTTTTCTCTGTAGTGGATGATATCTTTCTATCCCTTTAAGTTTGTATTTACTTTCTGCTTAAAAAACTTCTGCTAAACTGGAGCATATTTGATCATACCGTGACCCATGTCGTTTACAGTTATGTTATGTTGTAATCCATAGAATAGAGACAAGCAAATTGGGAAGAATCCCGCATACGCTAGAAAAAGGGATGACAAGGGTGAGACGCGCAAACGCGCGTCTCAATGTCCAACGAGGTGCGCAAAGTGAGACGCGTTACCGCGTCTCAATGTCGTCAATGTGTTAAACACAAAACATTATTTAATAAAACATTTTTTTCACCGTGTGTAAATCTCCAATTCGGTACATTCACACATTGGAAAATCGGGGAAATCTTCTGCATTAAGGGACGAAGCCAGTGACGCTTGAACAACACTCCAACAAGGAGTTTTAGTAAATTCTATAAAGCCCTGGGGGCTTTAGCGGGAGCAGGAAATATTACCGAATACGAGCAAAGATGGTAACAGTCAAAAGGTTAAACCGTGCTGAACAGACGTCTACTTATGACGATTTCCGACTTCGCCTTACCATAAGCCCGAAAAAACAGGATTTTGGGCTCTACTGCAAGATAAGTGGGATTTTCTAGGATTAGGCTTGGAGGGGTAGCAACATCAAAGAAAATAACTGTACACGCAACTTGGACTCTCGTTACCTGCCATCCCCCACTAAGACTTCAGTTTTCAACCAAAAGAAATGTTTAACGTGTTCGAATGCACTGCAACTACAGTGCCCCCGCGTCTTGTGATAGCGCCGAGTTCTGCTTTTATGTCTGATCGCATTCATCGCGAAAAATCTTAGCTGCCCCGGTATCGAAAGGCACGGAATGCTGGCTGAGGAACTAGGAAAAGCGGAGTGATCAATTTTTCGAAAGCTGCTTATCAACAACATATCAGGAGGATGAAATGGAATCAGAGTCAGAAATAGAAATCAACCAATGACTCGTCATCGCTGAACAACGCACCGCCGGTAGAACCCAACCGGTACATTTTGACTGTGCTGTCAATTGTTCGAGAATGCTGGCGCATCGCTTGGAATGGATCATACTTTCCACAGAGTACTTCAAGGAAGTCTTTCGCTTTGTGTAGATGTGTAAAGGTGTCACGTCAAAGCAACTGCTATTCTCAACCCTATTCGCGATCAATCACACTTTCAACAAAAATATTGCAGACCTTGCGGTATAACGACGATTTCCTGAATACCAACGAGAATTCGACCAAATTCAGTGGTGATTTTCAGCTCGCCTTGTTGTGGAACTGAAAAACCAGATGAGTCAAAGTCGAACGTACCTTTATGTTTATGTTTATGTTTATGTTGAATATTTATTTCTTTAAAACGTTGCAATTTTGTTTCATATTAACTGTTCTCTGAAATCAAAACTACCTTTCTGAAGTTTAAGACATGTAAAAAAAAACAAATTTGCTCTTACGAGAAGAAGCTTGCTATTGATACGACTACGTTCCACGGTGAGAGTCGTCGAGGATTCCGTCTACCGGATTTTCGGAATTTTCGTCTGCTCAGTATGCTTCCTGCGCAGACAGTCACTTCTACGCCACAGCGCGAGCCAATCTGTGCTCTCCGCGCTCTAACATTCACTCCCGACACTATTCTCACACACAGTACGGCCATGGTCAAGGGATTCCTTAACAATCGTCCATCTGTGTACGACCCCTTCCATCCTCACTTCTCACTACTCCATCCCTCGAAGTCCTCGCTTCGATTCCCTCCCTCTACCTTTCATTTATCCTCAGACTGTGGACTTTCCTTGAAAAAAAAAAACTATCAGACGACACAGATCTTCTTAATCTGACTGTCATCCGCATAATCTTCTAAAATTTTCTGAATATTGACTTTCCCAAATCTCTGAATGTTACATCATCTTTATGCCCTCCCATGCATGACCACTCGTCATGCCTATTTCTACCTTTCCCAGAACTTTTTTTTTGGCTCCGGTCGAAGGAAACCCTTTTCTCCCGCTAGTCAAAAACAACTTCTTCTAAGGAGTCCTTGATGGTTGGCTTACCATGGTGTAAAACTCCCACTACAATAAATCGTAAACAGCCAGAGCCTTTGTCGGGTTTTTATTATCATCATGTTAATTCTACAAATATAAAAGAAATACTGACCAATGAGAAAGTCGCCATCGGAGTTATACATAGCCATTCCAGTCATGGAGGAGTTGCACGAATATTGATGAATAGCCAGACCGGTGCGGGACACCACATCTCCTCCTCCACAGACCGTGTACAAGCCCTGAAATCATATATTTATTGCACCCCAAGGTTCCAGTTATTCTACTGACCTACGGGTTCGGAGTAGGGTCAACCGTCCGTTGGCACTATTGGAACAAAGGTTTTCATTGGTTCTCGGGGGGGGGGGGGGCTCACTTTGGGATGGAGCAAGGTCGACCACTTCTGGGAAATGTGTGAATGGAGATCGTATAAAGGGGCATTTTGGCGGGTTTTTCGACGAGTTATACGAGAGCACCATGAAAGTAGCGTGAGCCAGTGCCCAATTGTGAGGAGTTTTTAGGTCATCTACACCAAATAGGCCGATGTCAGACTTTGCGAATCGCGCGATTCGCTAGCGTCTGCGGTCGCGTCGCGGCCAGTGAATCACTCAATTGGCTGGTACCGCAACGCGACCGCGGACGCTAGCGAATCGCGCGATTCGCAAAGTCTGACATCGGCCATACCATTCCTATGTCTCTTTTGTTTCCTTTACAAGTGCCATCATTATGAGGCTTGCTCGTTATGCACCTATTTAGTTTCATTTTCACGATTTCCAAACATTCCCCAAAATCCGGTATTGATTTTACGCGCATGGAATATTTTGAAGTATTCGTACAAATTCGGCATTCAACAAAAAAAAAGAAAGATGAGCTGTTCCCACCTGCACAAAATCGACTCCTTCCTTCTTAGGGAGCGGGAATGGATGCCATCTGTACTGGTTTGGTGTCGGTTCGATTCCGGCGAAATTATTAGTGAAGTTTGCAACCTTCACTTTCTCGAACGGTTTGTGGACCACTGACGGACGAATTCGGTACAGCCAACTGCAAGAAAATATTATTACTACAAATGTTTTTATTGGTGAAACTCCAGTTCGGGGGGGCCACTCCATTTTTTCTCCAATACTCAAGATAAGGATTAGAGGGCTCACGACACGTAATCGACTCATTTAAAGTAGACTTCTGATAAATATTGGTGTAATGGGTGAGAAACCCTGAAACGTTTTCACATTTCCGCCTGCCATGACCCAAGGGAACGGTCCTGGACCAGGAGAAAGGACACCTCCGCAAAGGGCTAAGGGTGCAGGAGCTCCAGGGTGGATCACCTGTGCAGAAAAGTGGATGGGATGTGGGCAGGTAGTGTGGAATGTAGGACATCCACCGGTCCTTATCAAAAGTACGCTCGAAATGAGTCGTTCACTTATTATCTTATCCGTAGTGTTCGATAGCCCAAAGAACTGCTCTCTAGTACTACGGATAAGATAGCAATGGAGTGCCCCCCCCCCCCCCCCCCCGAACTGGAGTTTTCACCTGTTTGCTTATTCCAGCACTCCCTTGGCTGTGGTGTATTTGAAAAAGTAAACAAATAAATAGTTAAATAATGTCACACTAGTGCCAGCAAAGAAACACAATGCCATTAAAAAAGTACGAGGTGCTAACGATAAGACGAACTGAAGAGTAACTGCTAAAGAATTCTAATGTTACCACCTTATTGTAAGAGGACCAAGAACCAAAAAGACAAAAGGAATTATTCCCGAAGATAGATAGCAATCAAGGTTACTGGTGGTTGACACAGATCTTGTGGGATGAGCCATGGACTCGGTTTCCTTTAAAAATACCAAACACAATTTAATGCTCAGCTAGCACACTGAGTTGTTAAGCGAACCGTCTGACCTAGAAAATGGAATTTTAAACTCTTTAGCCTGCTCAATCTGATTTCAACTTAGTCTATGGAGACAGTAGAGATTCATTTTTTCCAGTCGGGATTCCTAATACATGGAAGCATACCACTTGAAAGTACGCAACTCGGCTTTTTACCTATCTTGAATATTAATTTGTGGAGGCAAAATACCGAAATATTTCCCAACAGAAGGCAGATATTGATTCAATTTTATAATTGTAATATATTAGTAAATCAAATTAAGATAAATTAACAAAAAACGAGGTAATATATTAGTGAAATTGGGAAGCGGAAAAAATGAAGAGAAAAACGAAGGTTGTGGTGAGAAAAAGCGTGTGAAAAATTTCATAAATCGGAGAAAGAAACGCGCAAAGTCATCGCGCGTGGAACAGCACCCTGGCCGATCATGATGTTTTATTGCAGGCCATAAAAAACAATGACCACGAAATTTCATGGAAGTTAAAAAACGCGATTCTGATACGGCCAGAGTTAATTTCGCCAAAGCTAAAGCAATAAGCTAAATAGTAAGCTGTGCACTGGTCATGAACCCTTCTACCGTCAGGCTATGCAGTTCGTGCGATGTGTAACCGCGATGTATCGCACAGGAGACTGTAGTACCCTGCAGATTTAGCAACATATGTTTCGAGATCTGGAAATACAGCGATCCCGACAAACTTTCTGACTACCTTCATAACCCTTTCTGTTGTCCATTAGATTTTATTGGACTAAAAATGAATGACTGATGAGACTTTTTTGTTTGTTAACTGCTGTTTTTGGCCGCAGTTCGCCTTGCGAATGTTTCACAAGAATGCTGGGTTGTGAACAAAACTTTCGCCCCAGGCGGGACTAGAACCCGCACCTCTCCCTTGAGAAGGGTGCGGGTTCGAATCCCGTCTGGGGCGAAAGTTTTGTTCACAACCCAGCATTCTTGTAAAACACTCGATGAGCTTTTTTTCAGCCTTCCCATTACAACCGAAAAGAGAGACACAAAGGCACTAGGTCGTTCCAAGCGCTCGATTTAACAACCGTAAAAACGACAAAGTTTTCAAATTTTTCAAAATTTCTTTAAAAATCCCTCCCACTTTTTGAACACGTCCCTTTTTAAGCTTACGAAAATATAGTGCACATTGTACTAAAGACGACGCTCATCCAAAAAAGCACATATACGGCCCCTTTGTAAGTTGCTGAAACGATTATCATCACTGCTCAGAAAGATGAGTTAGATGGTCTATTGAACGACCAATTCACAGAGCATGCATGGTGAAGAATTATTTTTGAAGCTTTAAATATAGCTACAAGCCATTTAACATCTACCGTATAATTAGAGCCTGAATTCTGCAAGAAGCTTCATGGTTGAGATTTCCGCAGAAATTCCCGATTCATGGTTGTGGTATCTGCCCGGAAAAGAGTGAAAGGGATTGGAACCCAATCTCCATTAGTATCAGTACTGATCGGAACAGATACCGAAATATTCCAGTGCACCCGACGGGAGGCCCGTCGCATAGCGAGAAGGCAGAGACGCAGACGGGTCAGCGGACGAGTCGCAGCGCACACTGTAGCGATTTAGCATCAAGCTGAATAAAATGTGCTATAGTGCGTCCCAATTCGCACACCAATATTCCCGAGTAGAATACAAGAGTGCGTAATGATGGCGGGATTTTTTTGAGCAACACGTTTTTTTTTTCGCCGAATCCCACTACTCAAAATGCAATTCCGCTTTGAAGCATAGTAGTGCTAGCGCCTCAGAGCCCCAAATCGAGGTCAGGTTCCAAGGGCCAGTTTCTTCTAGGGTGAGAGAGGAGTTCTCAAGGCAGGAGGCACGACACTGTCGCGACTCAAAAGTGCGAGGCAACGGCGCTAAGGCCTTGCCTTGTGTGCTGCCGTGCTGCCATCCTTATCAACCACGGCATACGTGGTCTCTGCGCCCTCTCGCGTACGACGTGCTCTCTCGCGTTTTCCCTCTCCTCGCAGCGCTGTGTCTCTCCGTCATACCACGGCCGCTTCACAAAGGGAAATTTTAGTGTTCTATGACGGTTTTTGTCTTTTCTCTCCCCTAATAATTCTCATGTTTCTTTTTCCACGTTGTCTCTCTTTCCACCTATGGGTGACCGATAAAGGATGAAGTCAGTGGAAGCGCCACGCATTTAGTTTCACCAATAATCGCAGTGGAAACCAA